AAAGTGGGCAAAACATTTGACTTTCACAGTGTCACTCTCCTTTCAAGAGTATTACAGTCAAACTAAGTGAAGCGTACCCCTCAAGATTACATTAATGAATTGATCATTTGGATATTGAACCCGCCAGTCGTTTCAAGAATGCAATAATGAATTGATTATTTGATTATTGAACCCGCTAGCCGTTTCACGAATGCAATAATGGATTGATTATTTGAATATTGAACCCGATAGCCGTATCCGTTTTGAAAAGGCGCGGATCATTGTTCAAATTAGAAGTCCATTTCTGAAGTCCAATAAGATTGTTCTATTTGACGAGGAATCCTGAAAATGAACAAACTGCACTGTAAAAACACTGCGAAAACAGTCGATCGCAAATATTAACGAAATAAAAAAAGTCTTGCGATGGCTTCGCCCGTAAACTATTTTTTTCGACCATGAATACACGCAAGAATTTCTACAAGTTCGTCAAGATGTAAATAGGCGAAAAAAGCTCTCGATAACATTCCCTTTACAACATTTACAAGAAGTTCTACACAGCAATGGAACTCACCATTCCCCCCATGTCTGACGCCATGTTGAAATAGTTCCGATCCATCATCACGTGTTCACATAATCCAATCAGAAATGGACTTCTGATTTGAACAATTATCCACGCCTTTTCAAAACGAATACGGCTATCGGGTTCAATATTCAAATAATCAATCTATTATTGCATTCTTGAAACAGTTAGCGGGTTCCATGTTCAAACATTGAATTCGTTATGGTAGTTTGGAAAATATGGAATGCCGGAATTTGGAACCGGTACCGGAATACTTGCGAAATATTCACTTAACGAATTCCGACTGAAAGCCTCATTTAAGCCTATTGAAAGTATTTGGTGTTTCTTTAGAAATGTCAAGCGATCCTAAAAATTATTTCGGTTTTACGTAAGAAGATTTACAGTCAAACTAAGTGAAGCGTTCCCCTCAGGATTACATTGATGATTTGATTATTTGAATATTGAACCCGCTAATCGTTTCAGGAGCGCAATAACGAATGGTAGTTTGGAAAATATAGAATGCCGGAATTCGGAACCGGAGCCGGAATACTCGGAATATCTGGAATACCCGGAATACCCGGAATTCCCGGAGTGACCGAAAAATAACAAATCCAAAAAAATGATAAAAGTAAATAAATAAATAAGACAGACCATTGATTGATGATTAAAAATCAATGGTAAATTTGCAACTTAATTAAATAATTTAGTGCGAAAATTTTCTCTGAGGGTCCCGAAAAAAGAAACACTTAAAGGCACTGTTCAGGGAGATACATGTATTAGAATTAAAAAAAGTCTGCGTCAGGCCAGTAGCCCATGCAGCCTAAGCGACGAAATATTTCTACTCTCCCTTCCCCCTGGATGTGATGCTAGTCCATCACATGTTTACTCCCCGTTTTAAATTCGCCTCCACCCATTTACACACCTATTGGATGTCTAGCCAGGGCGCCATGACTATTAGGCCTGCACGCTTTTCCAGCCGGAACCATTGCAGAAGATTAAACAAATGCAATTTTTCCAATTAGTTTAAATCAATCAATAAATAATAATATTGATGATGAAAAATTGACGATAAATTCACAACTTAATTAAATAATTTAATACGAAATTTTTCTCTGAGGGTCCCCACCTCAAATATAAACACTTACCGGTGCTGTTCATGGAGATGCACGTATTAGAAGTAAAAAAAGTCTGCGTCAGGCCAGAAGCCCACACAGCCTAAGCGACTGAATATTTCTACCCTCCCTTCCCCCTAGATGGGATGCTAGATGGGTCGCAAGATGGCCATTTTATAGTAAATAATTTTTAGAGTCGCTTGACGTTGATAAAGAAACGTTATATACTCTCAAGAAGTTTCACAGAAGTTTTCAGTGAAAATTCGGTGAAATTTTCTGACTGCTGAGCATTTATTCTGTTTAAGACCGTGCCCGGCTGCCGGGGCCTATAGCCACAGCGAACTTTGACGCGCTGCGAAAACTGAGTCGGTCAGGTCTGGGACTCATCAAGTCTGATGACTCTTTGGTTATTTCAAATAACCAATTCATCAAGTCTGATGACACATTGGTTATATCAAATAACCATGTAATGCAAGATTGGTTTTATCAAATAACCAAATAACGCAACACTGGTTATATCAAATAATCAAATAACGCAAGATTGGTTTTATTAAATAACCAATGGATATAATGAAATTATCATAAATAAAAGAACATATCACGTAAAAAACGACCAAAAGCGAAATAAATGATAAATTTATAAACGGCGCCCCATACATGTACGAGTAAGTGATGCGTGACAAAAATGTTGTGACAAATTCTGACCTCTGTGATGACGAATATCTGAACCCATGACCTCTGCGATACCGGTGCAGTGCTTTACCAACTGAGCTAACAAGCCTACAGGGAGCTAGTGATTATGTTTGGTTCGTTATAAAGATCGAGGCCACGCGAGCAACTTGCCCCCTGAGGAACCTGGTACTGAGTTGGCAAATCCCAGCGTTCATTTGGACGCCAGTATTAGCGAAGTGGCGCAATGAAAACATACGAGCCTTCCCCATCTATTGTTAGTTTCCAGTCTTCACTCAAACGTAATGGAGTGGTACTACGTTAACATGCAGTCAAGGTAGCCTAGGTAGCCTACTACTTCCCATTTGATATTTTGAATTTAAATTTTTTTAATTAATTCAACTTACCAAAAGGTAACGAAGCTTGTGCTGTGCCAGCACTGGTATTAGAGTTGTCCACTGATTGTTGGTTTATGTCCTCACAAAGCTTTCGGAACGATTGTGGCTGTCGGACCATCCTTTTAGCTTGCTCTTCATCTAGATAGTAGAATATCCTTGCAGTCCCAAGACGTATTCTATCCTGTGATTCGATTTCCACATCAGCGATACCAGGTTCTCTAGCGGCTGCAGAAAAGTTAGAAAAGTCATTTTAAAAATATATCAAGAGATTTTTAGATTTTTTTTTTTTTTTTGGTTGGCTTCAGGTAACATGCTAATAGAGGTCAGGGCAAATAGCAAAGAACCACAGTAGGATGGCAAAGAACATAATTTATAGTTACACAAGGCGGAAAAGCTTATTCAAGTTGTCTTAAACGTGGACTAATCCCGTCTTAAATCTAAGTTTACTAAGTTTAAGTTGAGGTTTAAGCAACTTATACACCGGTTTAAGTCTGCCTTAAATCGAGCTTATACTATCTTAAGGCTAAACTTTAATGTAGGTTTAAGCTGACATTAAATGTCTTTAAACAAAAGTATTCGTTTACGTTGCATTTAATGGAACTTAAACTCATCTAAAACACGCTTTTAAGTACTGTTTATCTGTAGTAAACTGAAAAAGCTTATTTAAGTTGTCTTAAACGTGGATTAATCCCGTCTTGAATTTAAGTTTACTAAGGTTAAGTTAAGGTTTAAGGAAACTTATGCACCGGTTTAAGTCTGCCTTATACTATCTTAAGGCTTAAGTTTAAAATAAGTTTAAGCTGACATTATGTGCCTGTAAACAATGTAACTAATATATTAATGGGACTTTCACTGTCTGTTTTATGCTTCACAGTGAGGTTATGTTAAGTGAATTTACGGTTAATGTTAATCTGTTTAATGATACAATGTAAGTGCATTACGTTTATGTCATATTTGATACGTCATATTTAATATGATTACTTTATTAGTTGTTACAAGAGTGAAGATTTGATCGCACTTATGATGAAACGGGTGTATAGATGGTATTCATGTGGGAGACTTTGAGTGGTCACGTGACACATGCGCAGTGAGGGTCATAAAACTTTACTCATGTGCATTGGTAGATGTAGGTAAAAATGTGGTATAATGGTCACAAAATGTACCAAGAATCCAAAAGGGACCTTTGGCAACGCTAATCTTTAAGATGATGTAGATAAAATCACTAGTATTCATATCGTGTAGAAAGACGAGAATTATAAGCTATCACATTTTTTTACAAACTTTCTGTCACTTATATTTTGTCTAGTCATCACAAAATAACGATATATAAGCCGTGTGAGCTGTTTAGTCTGCATAGAGATACCATACTTCAAGTAAATTAAGCGACGATGAAGAAAGTTCGATTTCATTCAATCAGACATGTACAAGTAGTGTACCTTACTGAAAACCATCCGTACATGGAAGTCAAAGAGAAGGTAAATGCAATCAAGTCGTTCCTGGATACTCCGTTTAAACGCAAAAGAAAAGAGTTAGAAGACAGACAGCATGGTGAGTATCTATATGCGAGTACATTTTACACAAAACCTCGACTCGCTTAAGGCAGACCTTAAATCTTTCAGTAGGTTTAATGATGTATTGAAGGTTACTTAAAGTGATCCTATTTCTTTTAGTGGATTTAAGGCGCTTAAACTAGACCAAAATCTTTGAGCATATTTAATAATATATTCAAGGTCACTTAAACTTGACCAAATCTTGGGGCATATTTAATAATATATTTAAAGTCACTTAAACTTGACCAAAAACTTTGAGCATATTTAATAATATATTTAAGGTCACTTAAACTTGACCAAAATCTTTGAGCATATTTAATAATATGTTTAAGGTCACTTAAACTTGACCAAAATCTTTGAGCGTATTTAATAATATATTTAAGGTCACTTAGACTTGACCAAAATCTTTGAGCATATTTAATAACATTTAAGGTCACTTAAACTAGACCAAAATCTTTGAGCATAGTTAATAATATATTTAAGGTTACTTAAACTTGACCAAAATCTTTGAGTATATCTAATATTATATTTAAGGTCACTTAAACTTGACCAAAATCTTTCATTGGCTTTAATGCACATTTAATTGGAACTTAAACCTGGTTAAATAAATGTATCTTTTTAAGTCAAGTTTAAGTTCCTTAAACCTGACTTACATTTTCATTTGGATTTTATGCCCGTTTAATATTTCTGAAATGTCGCTTAAATTTGGCATTTCACCCAGTGTTATACGTAGATGTAACATGACAACATCGAGAAGAGCATAGCCCAAGGGATGTAGGTATTTAAACAAAACTGATTTTATATCATATTTTTAAATTAATATTTGCTGATTATTTATATAATTTGCAATAAGACCCCTCTTAAAATGAAAAAGACAATCAATCTAACATCGTAAGTCTTGAAATTACTACTCTGGAGCTTATTTCAAATTTAGGATGAGATAAGAGGTAACAATTGAAAGGAGGGGACTTCTACCCAATTTTTTGCCAAACGTGATCATCGGTAATAATACTTTGTAACATAACAGTTGCGAATAAACTCCACGGCAAGCTACATGGACTTTCTTTCCCAGAAGAAGACTTCACAACCGTATTGAAGGGCCATGTAGAGTATGTTGGTTTGAAAACGACTGGAAAAAACAAACATTTGGAGGAATAGTATTGAATAATGCCTATTTCTCCACCGAACAAATGTTTCAAGCCTTGGTTGGGAAACTCTTGCCAAAAGAAGAGAAATACACATCATTAATCTGGTAAAAAAGTGCCATAAGGGACTGGCTCCAAGTTATCTTACTAAATATTTTCAATCTAAAGGACATCATATTCATGATTATAATATTAGGAATAAGGACAGATTAGTTATTGACAGGGTTAAATTAGAATCAACCGAAAGAGCATTTTTTTTATAAATGGGCCGATATATTTAATGATTATCTATGAATCTAGTTCTAGTCTTCCTATCTCTTTTCATATATAGGTTCTTAGATTGTGTATGTGGCTTCTGTGATTTTTAAACACTTTTTTTTTTTCCCCGCGGGACCCATATTGATAGCAATTTTTTATAACTGAATTGGTCATCCTGCATAAATATGTTATTATTATTATTATTATTATTATTATTATTATCATTATTGTTTGCTGATGAAGAAACTTTGCAAATGCATGTAAAGGCAAATTGTAAAATGTAACTCAGGAGAACATTTCGTACTAGTTCCAGGATTCTTTTGTTTTAAACAAGGACCCTGACTATAAGAGGACCTTTGCCCTGGGCAAGCCGTCTGTCATTTTACCCCAGACACCGAGCTGTCGACATCAACCAGTCCGTGACCGTG